AACTAAAGGTACAAGAGTAGAGAACTGTAACATCACCCCCTCTCTAAAACCAATCATTCTGAATTGGTGAACATTAGGCTTGGTTAGTAGCTTGGGTATAGGTTAGAATAGTAGGGTTTGGAAATCTGTGAGGCAGAGTTGATGCAGAGCACCTGGATGAAGTCAATAGAAGTCTTGGATTGTCTTAGCAGTATGGGTGAGATTCTCAGCAGGTTCCCAAGTGTGTTCTTCAACTAGGTATCCCTTCTAGTAGATAAGGAACTTGAGCTTTCTGTATACTAGCTTAGTATCTACTATGTACTCTACTTTGTATTCTGGTTTAGAACCAATGAGTTCTGGTAGAGGTAGTAGGGGTCTTTATTGTAAAGGAAAACCTGGATCATAGTACTAAGACAGTAGAACCTTGTTAAACACTGAGTGTATGTGCTTCCATGTTGCTAGAAGTTAGAGTTTGTAGACAGAGGCACTGACCTTCTTTTCAATAACAAAGGGTCTGAAGCACTTGTTGTCCAACTTCTTCATTAGGTGATCTGTAGTCAGGTTAGTGGCTTCTAGCATAACTTTGTCACTAGACTAGTAATCCTTGGCTACAGACCTCTTCCAATCATAGTTCTGCTTTATAACCTGTACTACCTTTTCCAAAAGAGCTTGTGTGTCCTCCCTAGTTCTGTGTATCCATTCTACAAAGTCTGTTACAGATTCAGAACTGCTATTCTGGTTTGGAACTGTCCCCTAGTACAGATGTCTCTCATGATTGAGGAAGAATAGGGACTGTCCTGTTGTAGAGTGTTGCTAGTTATTGTGTACAAATTCTGCCAGAGCTAGTCATTCAGACTAATCTGATTACTGATGATTGATGAACATCTGAAGGTAGAGCTTGATCTCCTGATTGACTTGCTCAGTTTGACTGTCAGTCTGTAGGTGATAGGTAGTAGAAGGGTTCCCTTGAATTCTGAGAAGTACATACAAGTCCTACATGAATTTTGACTCAAATTGTGGTCTGTAATCATAAATGAGCTTCTAAGAGAGTCTATACAACTGGAAGACATAATCCTGATAAATACATACTATACCTTCAGAAGTGAGTTCTGTTCAGGTCAGAACTGTGTAGACTTACTTAGAGAATCAGTCAACAATCATGTAGATAGTATTGTAACCCTAAGACTCAGGTAGCTTACTAATCAGGTCTACTAAGACTTCTTCCTAAGAGTGATCCAGGATCTGATGTGGATGTAGGGGAGCCTGAACCCTTGTCTGGTAGGCCTTAGTCTGTTAGTATGTATTACAACCAGTCACATACTTTAGGATTTCTCTCTACATTCTGGGCCACTAGTAGTTCTGAGTGATGAGTTCCTATGTTTTGTGTCAGCCTGGATGTCCTGTAGTCAGATTGTTATAATAAGCTCAGACAATGTCCTCCTACAGCTTCTGATCCTTCAGAATGTACAGTTGGCCTTCTTAGTAAACCTGTCCATCCTTATCCTCCTCCTAATCTCTAGCCTGCTTCTCTAACTACTTTACTACAACCTAGTCCTGTATGTGTCTTAGAGCTTACTGTATGTGGGTGACAAAGTCAACATCCTTGGATTCAAGTTAGATCTCTCAGATTGTTTTAAACATGAAACAGGAATTGTTTAGGAGAACAAGATTTTTGTTATCATTCTCCCCCCTTTTATAACCTACTTGTCTTAAGAGTAAATTGGCTTTTGTCATTTGTGTTTCAAGTTTGTGGGTTAGTACAAAGTCAAAGTTCTACAGTTCTAACATTTAGCAGGCTTGACAGTAGTTAAGCTTCTGAGGCACCTGGAAGTACTAGAGATTAAGGTGATTACTTCAAATCTCAAACTTCTGTATAGTACTAAGGAGATATTAACACTACTCCTCTAGGGAACAGACAATTGTAAGGAGTTCCTTGTTATAGATAGGGTAGTTCCATTCTGTTGTAGAGAGGGATTCTGATTGGAACACTATCAGACACTACTTTCTGTTAATAAACTAAGACAGTACTACTCTATTTGCAAAGTTAGAAGAGTTAGCTTCAACTCAGAACTTGTCTACAACTGTTAGAACTACTAATACAGGCTTACTAGTAATAGCCTGCTTGAGGGACTCAAATACAGACTACTACTGATCATCCTATTACTAAGGAACATCTTTGCTGGTAAGATTGTGAAGGGGCTAGGCAATAGTACTGAAGCCTTGAATAAAGTATTAGTAGTAGTTTGTAAACCTAAGGAACACTTGGACCTGTTTCAGGTTCTGAGGTTACAGCCAGTTCTGAACTATAGTTACCTTTGCTGGATCCATACAGACCTCTCCTCCACTAATTACAAAGCTCAGATAATCTACTGACTTCTGTGTAAAAGAGTACTTTACTTCTCAGAGGAACAGTTTATTATTTTAGAGCTATTGTAAAACTGCTCAGATTAGTTAGTAATGGTGCTCAACTGTCTGGGTGAAGATTAGAATGTTGTCCAGATACACACTAACATACTCTGAGTCAAT